CTGAGCATAATATCCGCCATTTCTGCGCGAATTCGATGCACAAATTGCAGCAGGGGAAAATTAAATTGCAGACATTTAAATTTTCTTCTCCCTCCTCACTCACAAGTGCATCGCCTTTTCTCCCATCTCGCGAAAAATCTCCGATCGTCGTCGTCGATTGTGAACCGATTAAATGCTGTATCAACCGTGTAATAGCTTGTAACGGAGATCCGTGGCAACTAAATTTATATTTGGTCTTTTGATAATAACTAACAGGCGACACTTGCTTCCGCGCAAACCCCTCGATAGGGTGTATGATTTCACAACAGGCCAATTGCGCGTTCTCCCTTGGGCCATAGCCAAAGATTCATTTTAGGAGAAGAGGGGAATGCGAGGGTTACATTGCATTAATACAACGAACAAAATTTTGCCTATTTTTCATTTCTTCGTTATCCTTTTTTTATTTATTATCGCGTACAATGATTACATATTCGACAAAAATTTAACATTAATTCCTCATTTAATTAACGTTAAAATTCGAGGGCAAAATTGCACTCGGAGCGACTGCAAGTGCACCCTCGCACCTTCCTTAACTACGCTCACGACTACGATCTCTTGATGGGGTTCGCGAAAGACCCAGGAATCGAGGGCTGCATCGGACCCCCCATGGATACGATCGCACGAGTCGGTTCCCCGGGGAAACGGTCGGTGGATTGTAACAATTTGGGGCACGGCGTGTAGGTAGGTAGGTGTCGCGCGGTCACATGGGCGCGCCGTAACGAAATTGATGTCTCTGTTTCATATCACGTTCCGCGCGTAGGCCGCGAATAGAGAGCGGTACGAGGGGGCGAGTGTTCTCCCTGATTATGTTGGCGAAAACAGCCGAGGGGGCGGGAGCAGAGAACCGAATCGAGTCCCCTCATCTCTCGCGTAAATCGCTTATAATCGCTAACGGCCACCCGTTAGATCCTGCGGTGTCTCGCATGCGTTTTCTCCGATTGCGCTGTCATACGCGCGTTGGCAATCGCTTAATGGAGTCATTACCGCATCAAGATATCGTAATGCGAGCCGCAATAACGTCGTAATTGTATGAAGATATGTTTTTCCCCCGAATGGAAAATGATTGAAAATTATCGATGAACGCGATACTTTTCAGTGAATCTGTTCCTCCGAGAAGCTGCGTATCGTAATCGCGTTACATCATCAAAATTACGTCATCCAGAGAAAATCAAGCATGTGGATAATAATTTTCTTATCTGGGAGAACCGACTCGCAAATCTTTTCCGTTTGATCAAAATGTTGGGAATCACTTCTGGGGATGCTTTCCACCCCTTTCCCTTCTAATATAGCTCGGTGCATCGGCCTACCCTCGCCCCGATCAATTATTTAGGATTGCCTGTGCTCAGTGATGAGATAAATATTCTGTCTACGTGATGCGAAACTGCTCGGACGGTGACGGGGGCTGATGCGAGCGTTCCCGACGATTATTGGAACGCGTAACGACACGATGTTTTTCCGAGGCATCGGGGATTAATTTCCAAGCGAACGATGCCGGACTATCTCTTGATTAACTTTCTTCGCACGTGGATGAGAAAAAGAAATTGTTTCTTTGCCTCTTGTTAATTTCCTTTCTCCGTAAGACGTATTTTTTCCGATTAATTTTCTTCAATACAGAATAATTTTCTTCTATTCGCGCGCCCTCTTCTCGTCACTGACACGACAATCCCGCGAATCGGCTATGAAAAATGCGAACAGTGATAAAAGTCAGAGAGTTTTGAATAAAGAATGCCGCTTTTCTCGAGGGCTACGCGCGTACGCTTGGTTTTTCACGTCAACACGTCTCCCCAGTTGCCGCCGGCGAACGGTCAACCCGCGTTTTTCTTGCACATTCCACCTTTTTCCGTCTGTCGCTTCTTCTCCCTCCGTCTCCTTTCTCTCTCTCTCTCTTTCTATCTCTCTTTCGCTAGCGCGCTTTTCGTGCGAGGGTTTACACCAGGATACCCAAAGGGTGGCATGAATTATTCGGACGGCGGTGAAAACGTCTAAGTGACACATGGACGCCTGACACCTAAATTGATCCTCGATCGGAACGCATGGAGAACGCACCGTTGCGCTGGTAGTTCCGGAAGGGGACCGATTTTATAGGAGGTGTTGCAGGAATGGAGAAGGCGAGAGACAGAGAGGGAGAAGATCGTGCGAGGGTAAGGTCTCGTGCATAATTCCCGAGGTCCCCGCGAAATCGCGTTAATCCGCGTTCCGGATGCGCGGATCAATTTGAGAATCGAGAACTTACGCCTCGTCGGTGGTAATAACAATAAATCGCTTTAGCGCGAAAGACTCGTCGCGAGAGAGCGGATAATTTTAGATACGAAGAGGAGAACAAGTCCCTTCCGGGACAACCCGCGTTTAGGGGTTAATTAAATTAAGCTGCCGCGTCTTCGATGAGCGCGCCAAGAGAACGGTATCTATAGACTCGCCCTATATAAGAGGAGTCTTTTTTCCTGCGCAAAGTAGGGTATTACTTAACGGCATTAATGGTCGCGGTTGGTCTTACGTATGCTCGTCATGACATTTTTAACGTTCGCATAGCAATATCCATTTGCCAGATGTAACGGTCGTCGGTTCCAAGTACAAGTGTCGGTAGGTGTTTATCTCCTTGCTTCTCTCCCGCTCTCTTTATCGGTGCATGTACGGTCGTATATGTACATTTCTGCAGACGCAAGTCGTGCGAATTTTTACGAACATCCAATAAATTTAAAAAAGCACATGTAAGAAAATTTTTAATGGATAAAAACAAATATTTGATTTCATTTAAAAATTTAATAAATCCGAATTATCTTGTAATAACAATCAATTAATTTAGATATTTATACGTTACTAATGTACATTATCGATAGAAGAAAAAATTATTTAGAAAATTACTTAAAAATTACCTAAGATTCTTTATAAAATTATGCATAATTCTGTTGATTATTTATGATTAATTGATTTATGCATACTAATTTATATTTATTTTTTAATAATTAAAAACGGTTTTATAATTAAAAATATTTTTTATAATAGAATTTATTTAATTGCAGAAAAAAAGAGAACCTTCAATTAAAAGAAAAAAAAAAAAGAAATACAATTTTAACTATTATTATTTAATTTTACGAGTTAAAATTGAATAAATATTAATCAAAATATTTTATGCGACTGGATAGTGTGTGAATTTCTTGCGAATAATTTCTTGACGTACAACTATTCGTATCGACCTTTCCTCTTGAGACATCCCGTACACTTGAGAGTTTAAATCGCGCGTGTAATATGAACACTGCGTAATAATACACCCTGACCATTAGAAAAGTGCGAGCTCCATGCGAGGCGGTGTAATGCAAAAGACGAGAGAGCGGACAGTCGCCGCTCTACGTGTGCGGCGAATCATTTTGTTGCTATTACGGCAGGTACCGCAATGTTTATTGCGCAAACGCGCCACGGCGAACCGCTCTCAAATGAATCGGCAATCGAAATATTCCTGCGCAACGCAATACGTTCGCACGAATATTGGATTAATATATTTTTTATTGGAAAATTGATACAAATAAAAAATATTAGAGCGATTTATTCGAGAAATTTATCAGTTCTCTTAAAAAATATCGGTTTGAAACTGATATTTATTATATTCCTAGGAAAATTGCTTTGCTAATGTGTTTCTATAACAATTGCTTATATAACAATTAGAATGAATTATGCGAAAAACATAAAATCTACAAGTATTAATTCTAAAGTGGACAGAGAATTGATCGAGATCAATTTGACTTTTGCGAATATATTTGGGAATTAAAATGCGAAAAATGATTAATTTTTGAGGAGCAGGATCGTTGCGTTGATCAATTTAATTCTGCCAAAATAAATTAAACGCTCTTTCGCGGCAAAGATAAATTTGATATAGCAAACTCGATAGTAAAAGGGTTCGTAGAGGGTGCGAAAAAAAGCGCTTTCTCTTGCGTACAGTTAAGGGGAAAGATATACCTCTCCTCGATAGAATATGGAAAATGGCGGGTCGAGCTTGTCGACAGTCACCATTTTAAACCGGCTCATATAAAAGGACGCGCCCGCGCATTTACGCGGTCGGACAGCCACCCCTTACGGGGTGGTGCGACTAATCGATCGGTCGTAAGGAACTTCCCGGTAAGAGATATCGACCCGCCCCCTCGAGAAGGATCACCGGTTGGCATGCACCTCGCAGGATAATTAGATAACGTTGAAAGAGAGTTGGATAACAATGGAGCAGGATTATTGGATAACGGATCATCTCGTTATTGACTTCTTGCGATCCTTGTTTTCGCTGAGAGAGATGAAGAGAGAGAAAGAGAGAAAGAGAAAAAGGGAGAATTAAACAAGTATTGATAAAACTGATATCTCTCTTCTTTTCGCTCTCATACGTCTAAACATATCGCTCGTATGTCTAAAATTAAAGAGACGCGACTCCGCTGTTCTTGCATTCTCCTCATGGCGTCCATGATACGATAATATACGACGGGACGAATAAACGAGAGAAAAGAAGAGAGCGAAAGAGAGAAAGGGAGAAGGCGAGAGGGTAGTAAGAATATTCTCCGTAATTAAGTCCCGCCACTTCCTCGACTCGATGCGGCGTGGCATGAGAGCGAAAGAGACGGAGATAGCTATAAGGACTATCCGTGGAGAACGCGGCAGGAGAAGAAACGCGAAGGAAAGAAGCGGCGGAGCGAGCGAGAGAAGAAGGCGAAAAAAGGAGGCACGACGATCGAGCAATAAATAATACAAGGGAAAAAGGCGATCGCGCCTGCAACACTCTGCTCAAATGTTAAATAGGTATCAATTTAACAGCGACCAATACGAGGGGCCGTGGGCGTAGAGAGCCGTTGCCGGATTGGTCGGACCAACCGACAGTGGGCGAGGCTACCTGGAACTCAGGTGCCGGGAGTCGGCGACGCATCTCGCCGTCCTGGTAGGGATAAACCATCTGGCTTCACCGGTGCCCTCACAACGTCTGGTCTCTCTCGACGCGACCGATCCGGACTCACGCACTCGCCGGCGCTCCGGTTAAGCCACCGAGGACTCCGAGTTTCGTTGACGAAATGGAGAACGAGTTCCCCCCTTTCGCCGTTTCGATGATCGTGCGAACGCGGCTTATTATATTTTGATGAAGTGCAGTCCTTCGCCGTGCGCGTCTTTCGTCTAGTGTTCCCGGCAAGTTGATTTTTCGGCTCTGAGACTGAGACCTGTCAAGACTCGGGCTTGTTGTTAGTGCGAGGTCGGGAATTTTCCGGGAGGAAACAAAGTTTTCCAGTACGATTTCCGACCCAAGTGACCCGACAAAGCGGCAGAGATATTTCTTATCTGCGTTCAAAATGATAGGGAAACCAGCCTCGAAAGAGGCTCGTTGGTTCTCGATATGCTTCATGGAAAAGAAACGTGATTCAAGGATGGATTTTAGTTTCTGAAGACATAGTTGGTGTATCGATACGGACAGAATCGCTGTTTATGTGTCAACGAGAATTGATAGCTGATCGAGTCAGTGAGCGAAATCAGTGAAACTCGCGCTTGGAATGTAGCATCTCAAACTGGTTGAGAGAAGAGTGGAGACAGAAAGACGGTGAATTAGCGAGAAAAAACTTGGGGAGAAATGAATATATTCGGTAAGTTTTTTCCGTCCTGTGTATATAAATGGTAGTAGCGTCGATATACATGCGTAGAAACAAAATGGCCGCCACTCGATGCGAAATTTATGAGGTGGTCCAGATCAAATTGGTCGTGCAATAAATTTTAACGCTCGTCGAACTCTTGAATCCATCGTAATCTGGTCCTCCCGAACAAAAGGTTCTCTCCTAATTAATCCTCTTCGTCGACATTCCATCATTCATTCCCACGACGACTCGATGAAGACACCCGCTGTTTGAAACGTAAATCTTCTCGGCGGAAGCCGATACCAAGCGTCGAGTTCTCGCGAGGAGGAAGGAGACACCATGTCGGAACGCGGCGATAGCGACGTGGACGCGACGGAGGAGATCAACGTGGACGACTCGGATTCTCGCAGCTGCAGTCCGCGAAATTACGCGAGCCACGACGGCCGTCACGTGTCCCAGGAGACGTCCGAGTGCTCCACTTCGCCACCCCCGAGTCAAACCGGCGCGAGGACGCTGCCGAACGACTCTTCCCGGAGCCACCCGTTCAGCATAAGTCGCCTGCTGGGCGACAGCGGCGTCCGAAACCCTCCGAAGAGCCCGTCCTCGGAAGAGCCTGACAGCGACAAGGAGAGAAAATGGTCCTGGGAGGAGGGCAACAACAATAACAACAACAATCAGACGTCTCTGGGCGGCGTCCTGGACGATGGCAGACGGTCCTGGGGACACGATGCCGAGGAGAAGCTGTCGGAGAAGGACGACGACGACAGCACGCCCGACACTCGCGCCAACTCGTCCTCGTCCATTCACTGCGCCTCGGCGGCGGACCTCCTCGCCCCCTTCCGGCTCTTCCCTACCGGTACCAATCTCATCTACACCGGCGGCGGGGTCATAAGGGTACCGGCGCATCGGCCGCCGGGGGCGAACGGTGCGCCGAGCGGCGCTCTACCTGCACAGGCCCTGATACCACCCTGGAGCCTGCAGGCCCTCCAGCACAGTCAGCAACAGGCCGCGGCGGCGGGTCTTCACAGGGCGAGTCTCTTGGCGAACCTCGCCGCGCATCCCCTGCAGCCCCATCCGCATCTCAAGGATAGATTAGCAGGTACATAGTATGTAAGGTAATTTAGTGACACACGTGTGTGCACTTTAAGATGATAAAATCCTCCGGGATTCATTAATTACGTATGTATCGCAAGAATTGAAAATTAAGTGTATTAAATTCTTTTTTTGAAAATTAAGTGTACTCCTTTTTTCTCATTAATGAGGAGATTAATGTTGGAAAGTATCATCTCAGTCAACTTGAAATCTCTTGAATATTTGATTGTTCGATAATTCTTATAAGAAGTACGCGCATTGTTCTCCATCGATTACTCTCTCTTTTTTCAGACTTAATTCTACAGATTTACATTTAGTTAATATTAATATGATGTAAGATCAGTAAAGCTTGTGTGGAGGAGAAAATTTTCCTTGTCAAATTAACATACGTTTAGTTTCAAGTTGCTCCGAAAAAGGAATAAGACTTTCGATAAAGATATTGATCGTTATCTTATATACTTGTGGCTACTTATTTTCATCTCGAAGAGATGATTCTGTCTCGGATAAATAATGTTTTAGAAATTTTCGAGAGAAAGTAAGAAAATTAAACTTGAGCATTTCGTTCCACATCAGAGAGTTGTCGAATTCACGTTTATAATTACGAAATAACGATATTTCGATGTACATTATACCATCAATCTTCATTAATTTATCGCGATGCACGAAACATAGACGTTTTAAATAAAGAATAACCGTCTCAATTTCTATCAAGTCTAAAGTAACATCGAAGCTTTATTAGACACTCACATCCAGCGGATAATTTGAAAATAATTTTTAAAAATAGTTTCGGATAGTTTAAAAATAATGCCGATTTGAAACAAAAAAAAACGTATATCCAATAAATTCATAAGTTCATCTCTCTTTCTCTTTCTCCGCCGACAGTTATTTAAATATCAGGTCTGCATAAATGTATAATTCGCATAATTATTCGCATAATTGTACGATATGCGATATCTTGGTGGAAAAAAAAAGATATTAGCTATTAAACACCGCCTGTGAAACATTAATTGGTTTACTTATCTCTCTCGTCATTACGAATCGTTATTACTATCTCCGCGGCGAGATAACGATCGCGCATGTGGTACATACGTACATATATGTTCGATCGAATTATATGCATCTCATTACACGATGCAGAAGGAACGGATGATTTATGCAATTAGCGAGATTGTCAGATATTAATTCCCGGCGGGAATTGGACCGACTGCTCGATAGAATCGAGTGACGAAATATAAAGCGACGAGAGAGGCGTTGCCGATTGGCGATCACCTATGTCAATTCCTCTAATTCGGATGGGTATATCTTTAGACGGCGACCCCGGGGGCTGGAGAGAGGCGTGGGTCTCTTACTTGGTGTCATTACTGCGCTTCGCTTCGCGACTGCTAAAATATATAGAGGATATCAATTATGTATCAGCGGCGAATTATTCACTCGCGCCGTCGTCGCGATCAGAGCCCGGCTACGAAATCGTCGAAGGCACCGAGTGACACTTTAATGGCGTGCGGACAAGAGCAAGTCGTCACGTTACGTCTCGCTCCGTCCGCTCGATAACCCTTTTTGTTCTCCTTGACTCAGCTGATCCCGACAATCTCCGATCTCTATTCTCACTCGGCTTACCAGATAAACTACGAAGAAGAGAGCTTTGAACTCGGAATCGGTATTTTAATCCGATATAAATATGGCGCGAAATATCAGTCGTATCTTGTCACGCGAACAATAAAAATGCAACAGTTTTGTTTCGTACATACACATACGTACAATTTATAAAAACGCGATATAAAGTTGCGGGGGGAAAAAAAAAGGAACTTCTGTTACTCGGAGCGCCTCGTGTTTCACCGCGTGCTTTCGAGATATCTGTAATTTGCGAAAGCAATTTAAACTCGCAGTACATATATGTCTCTTTCTCTCTTAGAAGGTATAATTTTAATTTGCTTTAATCGGGAGAGAGAGAAATACGATACGGGAAATGTTGCTGCGCCGAGGGATCATTACGGTCGCGATCATTGCACGCGGGCAAAGGGACGTAAAAGTGTAAAACGTTAAAATACAGGTACGTGCAAAATACATAATTAACGTTTACATTCTCTCGAATGCGCCGACTTTTTCGTGCGGGTAATGAAACCCGCTATTACTCGCGTGGCGTGAGTGAAATGTATTTATGCGTACGAGCAACATTACTCTCCCGCCCGATTATTTTGTTCCAAGTACGCTTAATGCCTGCCAAAGAGAGAGAGAGGGGGGGGAGCATCGACACGCAATGAAACAAGTAATCTTTCAAATATATTGTACGTGATTCCGCGCGAATGTCGATTGACATGTACAATTTTCGCAGTTTTGACATTTCGGGTCATTCCTGGATATCACGAATTTTCCTTCGAATTTCAAAGATTTTGAAGAAATCGAAAAATACGGCGTGCTATTAATTTTTCTTTAAGGAGATGTTATTACAAGAGAAAGCGCACACTCGTCAAATATACTTTCTTATAAAAATTTTATATTCAAATATATGCGTAATATATGCATAATATACGTGCGTGATAGCAGCAGTTTTTTAAATGGAAAGTATTGTGATCGATATACGCGCTTGTGAAATAATTAAAATATAATGCACGACGCGTGTACCTTGAATAATTAAAACCGTTTATTTATGTCGCGATCGCTCGAACGAGGCGAAAATGCTAATTGCGTTTGTGCTGCCATTTATTTAGCATATTATGGCGATCGGACGGGATGTTTTGGTCGGATCGATCGCGACGCACATTTTCCGAAAGTGATTTAACTCGCAGGAAATATAAGAGAGCGCATAACGTTTCGCTTGACGAACGAACTATATCATTATTTGCTTTGTGTCTCTTTGCCTCGATTATTTCCCTGTGCCACCTGTCATTTTGACACTGAAATGACACTCGATTAGGGCCTCGGGGAGGGAAGCAACGACTCCGAATCGACCGGAAGTGCCGCTTTACGATTAAGACGCTACGTAATTTCGAAGCAACTATGAATTGAGACACTAATTGCCCGATTCTCTTCAACGTTATTACATGATTTTTACGTTTGTATATCGATCTCTGCTTCCTTCAATGCCACGCGCGAACTCGAGGAGGATCCATTATAGTGGCTACGAAACGAAGCGCTATAAAAATCGCACATAACTATCGCGAAACCAGATTGCAATTTACGTTCAGAGAAACAATCTTACCGATTTGACATAATCGTCTCGCTCTGATTGTAAGCAAATAGCTCTTCGAGCTGCTCAGTCACCGGCGTAGCAAAGTAGACGAAGAACTTCAAATTTACACAGAAAAAAAGGACATTCTTGTTTTGAAAATATATTTAGTTTTAACATGGAAATCTTGAAATGAGATTTTATTACGTTAATTAAAGAAAAATATAATTGCTTGAATAATTGCTTACTTGAACGAAGCCATTTGATATAGTTCAATCAAGAAAAATATATTCTTAAGATTTAAGATTTAATTTTCTTGAATGGAAAAGAAACAATGTTAGATAATAACATTTTTAAATCAAAGATTATAATTTTCTTAAAGTAGAATTAAATAATTATATATAATTGAGGTGACAATTACAATATTAAAATAAGACTATAAAATTGTTGAAATTTAAAATTATTAAATTCTTCTAAGAAGATTATAAATTGTTGCGTATATACGAAACAACGAACGCGTTAGTTTAAGTATATAAGTTTTGATTTGACACTTATTTTTTTTCTGCGCATTTGATGTTTCAATTTTAATCGATGATTATAGTGCAATATGTAAATCATTTATTTATCTTCGTCTAATTTGGCTCTATTAAATCAATAATTGCATAATTGAAATGTAAATGATATATAAACAGAAATAAATAATTTACATATGTAATAGATCAGATGTATGTATAATAATAGTGCACTTGTAGAGATAATCCAACTCGCATAAAATAGATCTCTTATTTTTATCTAGTTTCTAACATCAGTTTTTACGGTCTCGAATGTTACATTCCTTGTTATGGTTGTGTTTAACGGGCGATAAAGACTTAACGAACGTATACTCGTTTCTATTGTCGATAATCGGTTGTTTGAACTCAAGTATTTACGCTACGCGATAACTTTTTTTCGGGAAGAAAATATTACATCTTCACACAAGACTAGGGAACTACGCCAATGCGATCGGCAGAATGCGCTCGTCGTTAAAAGTGGGTTCGAACGATTCTACGAATGCTTCAGAACCACACTCCACGGATACTTCTTGCAAAAATGCACTTTCAAGATTGTAACGTCTTGTAGAGCCCTCGCAAAAAATCACAAATCTCACAAAATTCTGTATATTTCACACGCAAAGCGTGACTAAATTCTTGTCCTGGAAAGATAGTTCCGTTAACAGTACGGAATTTCTTTCCTTCGGCAATACTGTTTTACATCGCCAATTAAATTGATATGACGTATCGAGATCTCACGAAAGGAAGAATTATTTCAGAAATGCCTTCTATTTTCAATAAATCTACACTTTATTGACTACTCGATCGAAATGGAAAATCTGGAGCGGGTCTTGAGTAAAAAGTCCTATTAAAAACAAATTTAACAACATCAAAAGAAAATCAAGTGAGATTTTCTATTAACTTTATAATTTAAATTATAATTATTAAAACAAATTTAAAGCCTAAAATAAAACATATATATACATTAAAATTAAAGATAAAATAATAAAAAAAAAAAAAAAAAAAAAAAAAAAAAAAAAAAAAATATACATTAAAATTAAAGATAAAATAATTTTTCAATATAAATATATTCATTTATACCGTATTCGAGGTAATAACCCATTTTAATAATTAAAAAACGTATTAAATTAATTCATAATATTAAATAGACATATATACTTAATAAATTTGTAAACATAATTGATATCACTATTCTAAAACAAATAATTACTCCATATTTTCTTCAAAAAGTTAATGTAAATCTACTCCTAAAATATTCAATATTAAATCCTGAAACTAATTCCGATTCCC